CCCAGGATGCCTGCAGATAAGGAGGTGACTTGGTGAAAGATCTCCTCCTCCTACTGGGACTAAGACAGGCAAGGAGGCAGGAACAAGAGCTCCCAGCTCAGTAGCTCACTTCTGTCCCTCACAGCGTCACCTCCAGGCCACTCGGGTGCTGGTAAAGGGGGCTTGGCTGGGCACAGTGGCTCACGCCTGTAATCCTAGCACTCTGGGGAGGCCAAGGCAGGTGGATTGCTCGAGGTCAGGAGTTCGAAACCAGCCTGAGCAAGAGCAAGACCCCGTCTCTACTATAAATAGAAATTAATTGGCCAACTAATATATAGAAAAAATTAGCCAGGCATGGTGGCACATGCCTGTAGTCCCAGCTACTTGGGAGGCTGAGGCAGCAGGATTGCTTGAGCCCAGGGGTTTGAGGTTGCTGTGAGCTAGGCTGATGCCATGGCACTCACTCTAGCCCAGACAACAATGCGAGACTCTGTCTCAAAAAAAAAAAAAAAAAAAAAAAAAGAGCAAGGGGCTGGATTCAGGCAGACCTAGCTCAAACCCTGGCTCTAGCACATGCTTATTTAGGTGGGGGCTTAGCCTTGTTTTCCCATCTATCAAATGCACAGTATCCAGACCTCACTGAACTACTGTGAGATGCTGGAGGGGTCCCACATTGGATGGTGCCCCTCATTCTGACCCTCAAGAAATCTCACCTCAGATAAGCTAATACCTGCCCCTCAGCTGGCCAGGTGCCCTCACCTAGAATGTGGTTGAGCTGATCCAGGTAGTGCTTGCCGGGGAAGATGGGCCGGTTGGAGAGCATCTCAGCCAGGATGCAGCCCACAGACCAGATGTCGATGGACTTGGTGTAGCCCTGGGGAGAAGGAGAAAGTGGTGGGCTCCTGGGCCAGCTTCAACAGGGTCCTGTTGTCTGGGCTAAGCCACCAGCTCCAAACTAGATACAACAGCTGCCAGAGAGACAGAGGGCAGAGGCCTGGAGGACCCAATGCTCAGCTTTCTTCCAGAGCCCAAGTGCTAGAGGGAAGTGACAGGGCCCACAGGGTGGACTTCCAGTGCCATGGGGGTCAGTACCTGGCTCAGAGGTGGCTCTAGAGCTTCCTGGGACCTGGCCCCTTCCCTTTGGGTCTGGGGAGCTTTCCTACCTTGGAGTTCAGCATGATCTCTGGGGCACGGTACCAGCGTGTGGCCACGTATTCCGTTAGAAAGCCAGTGTGGTCGTGCTCAGGGTCAGCAATCCGAGCCAGGCCGAAATCACAGATCTGGAATCACACCCGGGCTGCTGAGCTCTGGGCTCAAGGCTTCCACAGCCCACGTGTTCACACTGCCTTGCTTCTGCCCACACTGTTCCCCTTGCTTGTGATGCACTCCTGCCTGAGGCTCCTACTGGTCACCTGGAAGCCCCAGACCCTAGGGGAAAAGGGGACAGGGGCCCAACCTCTGACCTTAAGGTCGCAGGTGGTGTTAATGAGCAGGTTAGAGGGCTTTAGATCCCGGTGGAGCACGTTGGCTGAGTGGATATACTTGAGGCCCCGCAGGATCTGGTAGAGGAAGTAGCAGATGTGGTCATTGCTCAGCTGCTGGCTTTTGAGCAACTTATACAGGTCTGTCTCCATCAGGTCCTGCACAATGTAGCTGAGCATGGCTCCGGAGACCCCCGGGCAGGGGGCAGTAGGAGGCACTTGGTTAAGGAAAAACAGGCCCTAGCGACTAGGCTGCATGTCCCCTCTAGCCGGAGCCCCTTGGACTTAATGATCTGCCAACCCATATCATGAGCTGGGCAGGGGCTACATGCAGCACCAGGGCTCAGAGCCTCTGTTGCATCTCAGCTGAGGCGCTGTACCTTCCTCAGCAAGGCACTTCATTCTGTGGCTTCAGTTTCCCTACTGGGGATATGGGGTAATAATAAACCTTGGGAGGCAGGAGAACTTCAGTTAAGAGCAGAGCTCAGGAGTTAACCCAATGATGTATGAAATCCCCACTCTACTACTCACTGGCTTTATGATCTCAACCTGTCTGTGCCTTGACTTCCTCATCTGGAAAGTAGGGGAAAATAATTGTTCTGTAGAGGGTGGTTGTGAAGACTAGATGAAGTGACCCACGTTAAGCTGCCAGCCCAGCACTTGGCACCCTGTGAGTGCTCAGCAAACATGAACTATTATTGCTAATATGAGTGCCTGAGTCACACGGCTGTTGAGGGATTTAAATGAGATAATGCACGAACACCATCTGGCATGCAATGTTTGCTTAAAAATAAAATGCCTGCCTTATGGTAATGGTTTGTGCAAGAAAAATGAGGAGACACTCCCAACAGCACACTCCTACTCAAGGAAGAATGCTTGGCCATACATCAGGAGATAGAGGAGTAAATGTCTTTTCATATTTGAAGATAAAACACACATTAAACATAAATAAATAAATAAATGCCATTTGGCTTGTCTCTGGAAGAATAAGTCAGGACTGCCTTTTAGAGTCAGCCTTAAAAGGGTCTTTAGGGAACATCTTGACCAACTGTTTTATAGATGGGGAGTCCCAGTGCGAATGCAGTGACTTGCTTAAGGTCACACAGCCAGTTGGGGGTGAGTATGGAGATTTCCTGTCCAATTTGTGGTGGGGGCTGCAGACTCTGTAGTACCAATCCCTTCTCTTGGGTGGAGGACTGGGACTGGCAGCAGTGGGCAGGATAGGGAAGAGGTGATGGGTTTTGCAAGGTGCCAACAACAGAGCCAGGCAGGAAGTGGACAATGAACTAGGAAAGCAATATTGAGAGAGGGCAGAAAAGGCTAGGCTGTCCCTCCCTGGGCAAGGTGCATGTCTACAGGTGATTAGGTGGGGCTCTGAGTGGGAAGTCCCAGAGAAAGGACAAATTCCCATCTGGGGGAGGGGAGCAGGCAGCAACAGAAACACTTGATTTTAGACTTCTGGGACTCGATTTCCTTATCTTTGAAATGGAGCTGATGAAGCCATCTCATAGGGCAGCTGGGAGGTAGAATAAGAAACGTCAAAGCACTTGGCACACATGGCACCTGACACACAGGAGGACCTCAAGAAAAGGCAGTTTTCTTTTTCCCCGCCTTCATTCTAGTCTGGGGACCCAGAGAGGAAAGAATCATCAGTTTGTTAAGCAAGAACTGGTTGTGGACATAAACTGGATCATGTCTCAGAACTACAGATGTCAGAAGACAAAGCTCCCATAAAGACTATCTTGCCCAGCTGCCCCACTGAGGCAGGGAGCAGAGAACCAACTTGTCCAAGGTCACTCTGCCTGGCTGCAGCAGGCCAGGATTCATCTGAGACCTCCAAGCCCTGTTACACTCTGGCCTCTCCTCAGCTGGAAAGTTTCTTTTACTGGGTTTGTTTTGGAGGGTGGTAGGGAAGATGGAAACAGAAAGAAAGCCAGTGTTCCCCAGCCCAGCTCTGAAGCTGTGCCTGGCCAGCCATCTGGCCAAGGTGAAGGATACACATCCCGCATGGCCTCCAGGGTGGGTGCTCGCAGAATGTCTCGGATGCCAATGACATTCTCATGACGGAATCGCAGCAAGATCTGGATCTCTCGTAGAGTGCGCTGGCAGTATGTCTGATGCTCGAAGGGGCTGATCTTCTTGATGGCCACTCGAATCTTTCGCACGTGGTCATAAGCTGAGCTGAGAGGGCCAGAGACATGCTGCTGGTGTGGCATTACAAAGGGGGAGTCCAGGCCTGGTGGCCCCACCCAGGCCTTGGCCACGGAGGGGAGGGAGCAAGAGAAAGCTCTGGCCAAGTCATAAACAATGCTGGTTCCTTCCTGCTGTGAAGGCCTGGGATCTCCAGGGAGAAAGCTGGGGACCAGCCAGGCAGCCCTTCGGTGACTTCATAAACAGAGGAAGAGCCTGACCGCTCACTGACTTCCCCTCTCCTCAATCCCCTTCCATTCTAGTTGCTCTGATCCCTCCTCTGCCCTGCCCAGGAAGGGCTCCTTCAACCCAAGACTGGCCCAGTGGGTGGAGATGAGAGGATGAGGATGAAGCAAATGCTGAGAGGAGGCACTCGTAGGAGGGATGGAGAGAATGGATAAGATGGGAGGTGGTCCTTGGTGTGAGGGACCTGGGCAGTGGGCTGTCCCAGAGGAGCAGAGGCCCAGAGCACATGGAGGAGAAAGGAGACCCCTCCCAGAAGATGCAGCGAGGCACTCCTGCCCCCTCATCGCTTACTGGGCCCCTCCCAAGGGACCCAAAGCCCTGCCCCATCCTGAGCTCCGCTCTTCTCTCCCCAACTCCCTGGCACAGCCTCACCGGGGGAATTCAAGACACCCTTTCCCCCAAAAAGCGTCCCTCACCCACCCTTCCCTAAGGACATCACATCCCCGAGGATACTTATTCTCTGTGCCTCACCCCTTGTCTCCAGGGTCCCCGAGGCCCCCACAGCTCCCCCATATCCACTTAGATGCCCCTCCTTTCATTACAGAAGGGTCGGTTCAAAGCCTCCAAGCCCCCCCCCAGAAAGCTCTCAAAGGCCCCCTCCCTGGGACGCTCCCAAGCCTCCAGAGTCCCCTGCCTCCTCAGATGTTGCGAGTCTCCGCGTCCGAGAAAGCACTCAGGCCTCTCCCCTCCCTCTCCCTCGAAGCCCACTCCCCCTAAGTCGCCCCCTCCCCTGGAACGCCCCCTCACCTGACCATGCCGTACGCGCCCTCGCCGATGTACTGCAGCTCCGTGTAGCGCGGGCCCACGTCGAACGGCTGCCCCTTCACTATCTCCACCTCCCCCGGGACCCCCGGGCCGACCCCATCGGCTCCCCGGGGCTCCCCGCCCCCGCCCCCCTGAGCCGCCGCCGCCGCCGCCATCTCCACTCCTCCCCTCCCGCCCGCCTCCGGCCGGCGCCGCCAGGGGCCCCGCCCCTTCCCGCCCGCCTGTCACCCGCGGGCGCGCCGCGCCAGCCCGCGCCGCCCGCCGCGCCGCCCGCCCCGCGCGCCCCGCGGAGCTGGCGCGCGGCCCGCGGCGTCGCCACGTGACCCGGCCCGGGCGCGCCCGGCCTTCCCGCCGCGGGTGCGGCGGTCCCCGCCCCGGCTGCGCCAGTGGCCGCGAGGCTCCGCAGGGCCGTTTCGGGGGCGCCCACGCCCTCCCCTCGACGGCGAAGGACTTACCCCGGGCGGCCCAGAGAACGAGTACTGGTGCCCGACCAGAGCCGCGGCCCCACGTCACCCTAGGTCAAATTACTTTGGAATGAATGAATCAGGTTTTACAGATGGAAGATATGGGAGTGGGGTTAACTAACTTGGGTAGGGTCACTGTAACGGTGACGGCGGAGACTCAGAGTGATGTCTTCTGGCGCAGAGGCAGTAATTCTATGCTGTCCCAGGTCACAGACTGTGACAACTGGAGGAGGGGCCCTCAGACTGTCCAGCCCATCCCTCCCATTTCACAGTGAAGGTGTGAGCTGGAGGCCTCACAAAAACACACAGCTCCTAGGCTTCAGTAAGTAACGCGGTGTTGTTTCTCCCTGAGAAGCCGGGGTTAGGTCCTTGTATGCATTACGGATCGAGAGACGAAATGGAACAGTAATTAGGATTCTGAAATTGCTCATGATGACACCCGCAGCCAGGCATTCTAACTCAGAGTAGTGAGGCTGAGTTGCAGGTTTCCAATAGCCCATAGGTCAGTGAAGGTTCAGGAGGTGTTCATTAGATCAATGATATTTTTAGTTATTCATTTGACAAACCACTGAATGGCACCATGTGCCAAGCTCTGAGCTAGGCACTGTGGCTGAAGACAGGGTATTTCAGAGTATGAATTCGTGGTTAAGAGCAAGAACTCTCTGGAGCCAGAGTGCCTGGTTTGGAATCCCATCTTTGCCACTTCCTGGCTGTGTTACCCAAGGCAAATGACCTGCTGGCCTCTCGTGGAGGTTCTAATCTATCGAAGAGACAAGATGCACTTGCGTAATTCAATTTAATACAAGATAGAAGGACTTACTATATGGTGTGTGAGCTCAGGGGTGGGCAAGATCAATCTTTCTTAGAGAAGTGAGGAGAGAGTAATGGAGGTGGTGTTTGAGTCGTTGAAAAAGCAGGAGGGCTGCAGAAGGCTGTGATCCAGGAAAGCCATCAAGGGAAGAGCACAGGAGCCAAGGCGTGGAGGCAGGAGCGTGACCTGTCCCGTGTGGCTGCAGTGGAAATGGTGAAGGGGGTTGAGGCTGGAGGGGTAGGTTGGGGCCAGATGGAGGAAGGCCATGGATTCTGGCAAGGAGTTTAGATGTTACTCAGTAAGTGTAAAAGCCTTTGAGGGGCTTTTGCCAGATCATTTTGCAACTGTGGGAGATGATAGTGACTCAGAGAATACACCACAAGAGTTCATCATGGAGCCAGGTTTCTTGAGTGGGAGTGTTTCCCGGCACAGGACGGCTGTGTGCGGGGAGGAGCCTGCCACCTCTTGCTGCGGAGGCTCATTTAGAGAGTGCGACTGAGGTTCCCCTCTAGTGGCTGAGGTTGGTATTTCCATAGAGGCCTGGATGGGAATCATTTTCCCTGCCCGGTAGGTAGCTCATTACCTACCTCACAGCCCACTGCATTCTTAAAGTTTTTCTAATAGCTCCTATTTGGTTGAGCTCTGTCCTTTGGAGCTACTCAGACTAAATATTAAATCATTTCTTATCTTTCTGTGATTTCAAGGTCCGGCACATCGAAGAGCACAAATGAACATTCTCATGTCAACTAACTCAACCAGCCAGTGTGTGTGCAGGATGAGGGCTCAGAACACATTAAAAAAATTATCAAGATTTAAGTACTGACTGTTTTTTTTTTTTTTTGAGACAGAGTCTCACTTTGTTGCTCAGGCTAGAGTGAGTGCCGTGGCGTCAGCCTAGCTCACAGCAACCTCAAACTCCTGGGCTCAAGCAATCTTTCTGCCTCAGCCTCTGAAGTAGCTGGGACTACAGGCATGCGCCACCATGCCCGGCTAATTTTTTTATATATATATATTTTTTAGTTGGTCCATTAGTTTCTTTCTATTTTTAGTAAAGACAGGGTCTCGCTCAGGCTGGTTTCGAACTCCGGACCTTAAGCGATCCACTCGCATCAGCCTCCACAATGCTAGGATTACAGGCGTGAGCCACCGCCTGGCCCTGACTGTTTCTTTTTTAAAAGAAAAACAAAAAACCCTCTTTATCGTTTCTTGGGAACTTTCTTCATATATTATAGAATATTTGAGATGCCCAAATATCTCTTCTCTGGTATAAGCATTCTTTTTTTTTTTTTTGTTGAGACAGAGTCTCACTCTGTTGCCAGGGCTAGAGTGCTGTGGCATCAGCCTAGCTCACAGCAACCTCAAACTCCTGGGCTCAAGTGATCCTCCTGCCCTCAGCCTCCCAAGTAGCTGGGACTACAGGCATGCGCCACCATGCCTGGTTAATTTTTTTACATATGTTTTTAGTTTTCCAGCTAATTTCTTTCTGTTTTTCTTTTAGTAGAGACGGGGTCTCACTCTTGCTCAGGCTGATCGTGAACTCCTGAGCTTAAGTGATCCTCCCATCTCGGCCTCCCAGAGTGCTAGGCTTACAGGTGTGAGCCACCATGCCCAGCCTAGTTTAAAAATCTTTTTGCAGAGATGGAGTCTTGCTATGTTGCCCAGGCTGGTCTTGAACTCCTGACCTTAAGTGATCCTCCCACCTCAGCCTCTTAAAGTGCTGGGATTACAGATAAGAGCCACCACGCCCAGCCTGTACCATTTTCTGAAGCCCATGATGCTGGTGTCTTCCCTTTTAAACCCTCTTCAGTGTCAAGAGGGTTTGCACCTTATAAATATTAGTGGAATGAATAAGTTGAATATTTATGGCACAGTCTCCACATCCTTCATCATTTGGGACACTATTTTCTGGATGAGCCCGGGGTTGACTGTGTCCCTGTTAAAATGCAGTGTGCAAAATAGAATACCATTTTCTAGATGTGGGAGTATGGTAGGAGTACTCTTGCCTGGTAGTGTTCCAATACTTTATTCATTTCTACACAGAGCCTTTCCCTGATCCTCCAGTCTACACTACATGCTGTTCATAAGCCTCCCTCCTGGTGTTCTTTCTTTCATGGAACTTACCACAATTTGTCATTATACATTCATTTGTGAAGTGAGAAAGTGCAGTGATTTTAAGTGTGGGGCCTGCAAGATCCCTTCTTTTTCTGCTTCTGTGAATTCACTTCCCAGAACTGTGGAGGTAAGGTATATCACTGTCAATTTTCAAAATACATTTATTGGCTCATCCCTGTAACGCCAGCGCTTTGGGAGGCTGAAGTGGGAGGATCACTTGAGCCCAGGAGTTCGAGACCAGCCTAAGCAACATAGTAAGACCTCATCTCTACAAAAAATTTAAAAATTAGCCAGGCATGGTAGCCAGCAACTATAGTTCCAACTACTTGAGAGGCTGAGGGGGGAAGATCGCTTGAACCCAGGAGTTCAAGGCTGCAGTGAGCTATGATCGCACCATTGTGCTCCAGGGTCTGGGTAACAGAGCAAGACCCCATCTCTAAAAACAAAATAATACATTCATGGAGTACTTATGTGCTATATAAGCAATAGCTACATTGGAGGAGAAAGCCGAATGCTTCCCAAGTGCTAGATTTTTGGGGGACACATGATCTCATTTGATTTTTACGATGGCCATGTGAAATAGAAGTCATCTTTTTTCACAGGAGTGGGAAAGTTTGGGATGGGAAGGTTGGGTGACTTGCTTGAGACTACATACTCGGCAAGTGTCAGAGACTCAAACCCATGTCTGTCTGGCTCCAGAGCAAAGGCTGTAAATGGGTGGCCCAAGGCCACATTCAGCGTGAAGCTGTATATTGCTTGGCTCTTGTCATTTTGCTTTCTTTTAATTTGAAAAAACAATACAGCCTGTGGAATCAGACTGCCTGAGTTTGAATCCTTTTACCACTTAATCAGTTGTTTAACTTCTTCCTTGGTTTTCTCATCTAAAAAAAAAGATGCAGCATTCACTTCATAGGAATGTTGAGATTTAAATACTTTTGTATTTGAACCTGAGTAGGTGACATAACATTCCTCAGCTTCAGTTTTCTCAATTGCAGATTTGAGAATATAAAACTGATTCCGTCTACTTCACAAAGTTAGTAGTCTAGTAAAGTTTTGGAAATTTTGAATGTGGAAGCCTTAAAACTTAAAAGGATATATAGATGGTATATGTCTTTTCGTTTAATTAATTAATTAATTTTTTAAAGAATGACCACACTGTCTCTTATCATTAGAGATGTCTTCTTAAATTGACATCAAATTATTATTATTATTATTATTATTTTGAGACAGGGTCTCACTCTGTTGCCCAGGCTAGAGTGCTGTGGTGTCAGCCTAGCTCACAGCAACCTCAAGCTCCTGAGCTCAAACAATCCGCCCGCCTCAGCCTCCCAGAGTGCTGGGATTGCAGGTGTGAGTCACCGTGCCCAGTCCAAATTTTTATTATTAAAAAAAAATCGAGGGGGGGGGAAATGGGCATTTATTGAAACCTTAAAATCTGTACCCCCATAATATGCCGAAATAAAAAAAAAAAAAATTTACGGGGCCCGGCCGAGTGGGCTCACGCCTGTAATCCTAGCACTCTGGGAGGCTGAGGCGGGCCGGATTGCTCGAGGTCACGAGTTCGAAACCAGCCTGAGCAAGAGCGAGACGTCTCTACCAGAAATAGAAAGAAATTAATTGGCCAAATAATATAGAAAAATTAGCCGGGCATGGTGGGCCATGCCTGTAGTCCCAGCTACTTGGGAGGCTGAGGCAGAAGGATTGCTTGAGCCAGGAGTTTGAGGTGCTGTGAGCTAGGCTGACGCCATGGCACTCCACTCTAGCCTGGGCAACAAAGCGAGACTCTGTCTCAAAAAAAAAAAAATCAAGATATAATTATATTCAATAAAATCCACCCGTCAAAGGACACAGCTTGATGAATTTTGATAATTATATATAATTATGTAACAATCATCACCATTGGGATATAGAACAATTTCTTCAAACCAAAAAGCCCCTTTCTAGGCAGGCTATATCTATATCTATATCCAGGCAACAACGATCTCCTTTTTGTCACTCTAGTTTTGCTTTTCTAGGGTTACATATAAATGGAATCATACGGTATGTAGTGTTCGTGTTTGACTTTTTACACTTAGTATAACATTTTTGAGATTAGTCTATGTTGGTATATTAATAGTGCAGGAATTGACTGCACCCAAATCTGGGGTCTTGAGCATTTCAGTTGATTTAGCGTCCTCTTACCATTCTACACTTCTTTGGGGCTTCAATTTCCTCTTAACTACAACCTTAAAGCAATTTAATCTTGATTGTCATTCTCTTTATAGAAAACACAAACTAGATGAAAATGGAGAGGTTCTGCTTTCTCTTGGTCATCTGTTTGTATTACACCATCTACCCTAAGCAACAGGCCTATTTCTTCCTTCTTTTCTTGCTCCAAATATAGCTATAAAAGCCTTTTTTGTCTCTAGCGTGTTTTGTAATCTCAGCTCATTCCGAGTTACAGCCATCCTGACACTGTGCTTAAATGTTTATACCAGTCTTTTGTGTTTATCCCTGGGTTAGGTTGCTCCTCTTACGTCTTTTATCACAGAATTTCCTGTGCAGCCACTTTGGCTCCTTTAAATGCTCTTCCTATTGCATCTTCATCAGGATCCAAAAGGGATGAAGGAATGATGAGTTTTTTTGGTGGTGGTGGGGATTGGATAGTCTTGAAATGATAAATGAAAGTATACATATTAATTCAATGTTGGAAATAGATAAATATTTAGTACATGCAATGAGATAATCGTTCATTAATTTAGCATCCAATGATTAATTTATGCATCATCAGTTTAGCATCCTATGATTAATTTAGCATCCAAATAGTCACAGGCATTGTCTTGTTCACCCTGAGGACATTAATACAAAATTACATACTGCTTTTTCCCTTAGCTTTTACTTCAGTTGTCTATTACTGTGTAACAAACCATCCCAAACTTTAGTGGCATAAAACAACCCGTGTATGAAACTGGTAGCTTTTTAAAAAAAAAATAAATAAATAAATAAAAATAAAAAAAAAAAATAAAACAACCCGTGTGTGTGTGTGTGTGTGTGTGTGTGTGTGTGTGCGCGCACACACACAAATGCTCATTGATTCTGTGGGTGGGATTTGGAAAGGGAGTAGTAGGAAAAGCTATACTCTGCCCCATGATGTCTAAGTCTCAGCTGGGATGACCTGAACAGCCTGGATTGACTCTTAACTGATGGGAAGGGGACAGCTGGGGCTACAGGAGCCCTTCCCTAGGTGGCTTCTTCACTCACATGCCTATTGCCTAGGCTTGGTTTTCAGGAGGGCAGGCTCAGGCTTAGATGGGACTGTCAGCCACAGAGCCTATGTGTGTTCTTACCCACACTTCTCATATGGAAGTTCCAGACTCTAGGAACGAGTGTTCCAGCCAGCAAAATGAAAACTGCCGGGTCTTTTATGACCTAGCTGGGGAAGTCACATAACATCGTTTCCACCACACTCTATTTATGGAAGCAGTCACAGGCCAGTCCAGATTCTAGGGGAGGTGACATAGACCCCACACCTTGATGGGAGGAGTGTCAAAGAATTTATGGTCCAGAAGAATTATCTAGCCTATCCACAGAATTATAAGTTAAATATTAATAAAACAAACAAACAAAAAAACCCCAAAACAAACAAAAAAGGCAAAAAAAATTTATGGTCACATATTAAAACTACTACAGCCTGCAAATAATTGTTTATAGAAGTGGAGTATGCA